TGAATATAAATACGGTACATACACCAAAATAACATTTTTTTACAATTTTTGTCTGTCTGACTTTCTGTTTGTTTCGGCTAATCTCTGAAATGGCTGTACCTATTTTGACGGTATTTTATTGGCAGGTAGCTGATGTAATAAGGAGTAACTTAGGCTACTGTTATTTAAAAAAAATGAAGTTAAATTCCACACAGACGAAGTCTCGGGTACAGCTAGTATAAAAAACTCGTGGGAAATCCTGGGCCGCTAGTAAAACATACGAGTGTGACTAGAAACTATATATATTAGAAATATTTTAACAATGTTACAACAAATATATCTTCCTAGAAAAGTGCTTGTAAATAATTCTATCTTGGTATTGCCATTTCATAGAATTTCATTTGTTATAAGTATAACTCGTGACGCCTACGCAATCTTCAAGATAAATTATGTCTACTTATAGGTAATTAACTTCTTGTTGGCCAAGTTATAAATAAAATTACGTACTAAAGTTATATCTACAGCCCCTGCTGTGCAGCGGTTTAGCACTCCGACTTATTCGCACGGTACAAACATTTGTATTCATGAGTATGATTGCTTGTATCGGTCTGGGTGTTCTATATATTATACCAGCTGACACAGCAAACGTTATTTTGCCATATAAATTTAAGTATTATGTTAGTATTTCGCTATTAAAATTAGGGGTTGGTGATAGAAGGGTGAAAATTTAGGGTTGTTTGTATTTTAATACCAAATGGAAATAAATATAAGTTGTCCAAAAAATAAAAATTAAATGTTAGGGGTGGACAACCGTTATCACTTAGGGGTATGAAAAATAGCTAATAACTGATTCTCAGACCGACTGAATATGCATATAAAATGTCATAAAAAAGTCGATCAAGGCGTTACGGAAGAGTATGGTAACTAACATTGTGACACGAGAATTTTATACATTCTTATGTATAAAATTACGTACTATATTGACGAAAAAATTATCTATGTATTTATATCAGTAGTCGAGTACTCATAACACCAGCTGTGATTATCTTGGGTGTAGATGGCGCTGTGTGAATGTCTTCGAGATATTATTATTAGATATATCCAAAATAACATATTTTACTTGATATTGTGCGGTCAGTAGTCGAATCTTTACATTGTATAAAATGAAGTTGCCATCACTGTCTGTTCGCTTATATCTTTTAAATTACGAAACAGATTTAATGCAGTTTTCAGCAATAGATAGAGTGATTCAAGAGGAAGGTTTATATGTATAATAAATGCGTGTTATAATACAGAATAAATCGAGAAATTCAAAGATTTACAAAGCATCAGTCCGAAGCCGGGATGGGGTGGTAGTGAAAATATAAAATTCTACTTGCCAGTGTGTAAACCGGGCGCAATCATTGCGGATAAACCCCAAACGAAATTAGGTAAGTATTCACAAAACTTGCTTTATAATGTCCGCAAGACTCGAATTTTCGTCAAATGTCGCTGTAAAGTTTTACCGAAAACTGGAAGATTAAAATGATAAAAACTTTTTGGATAATATTTTATATTATTTAAACACTACGCAGTGTTGTAGGAACATAAACTGCTCTACTTGATCTTGGCCTAAGTTTAAATAGAGCAGTTTATGATCATACCAGTCTGTAAGGTTTCCTGTCACAAAACAAGTCCTGTATTTATTTACTTACTAGCTGAACCTGCGGTTTTACCCGCGTGAAATTTATAGCTTATATGTTACTCTGATGTTTAAGCTATGTTACTGTAAAATTTCATCAAAATCCGTTCAGTAGTTTTTGCGTGAAAGAGTAACAAACATCCATACTCACAAACTTTCGCGTTTGTAATATTATTAAGATTTTATGTATTTCAGAGTATTAGGTATATCTTATATTTTATGTATATTGTGTATGTACATGTTGTATTAATAATGTGTATTTTATCCTAGTTTAATTTTCTTATTTTTCTTCTTCAGTCGTTCACTCTTGGCAGAGTGGTCGTGGCTTTCATGATGGTATATTTTGTGATATGGTATCGTTGTGGTCCTTGGCGATAGAGCTCCTTACAATTTGTCTCCACCTGGTACGGTTTTTGGCTGCACGAGAACATTCTACCATGGACTGCTGTGTGGCCGTTCTTATACTGTCAGTCCATCTCGTTGGTGATCGACCCCGAGAACGTCTGCCTTCAACCGAACCTTGGATAATTACCCGCTCCATACAGTGTTCGTTCCGGCTAATGTGACCAGAATACTTGAGAATTCGTATTTGCACAGTTTCATTTTAGTTTAGTCTAATATTTGTATATATGTAATTTATATAATTAATGTTAAGCCACCATCAAGTATTTCTGCACTTCCTGAAGGTTGGCTGGTAGTACCTATAGCTTTAAGTCCACCTTTTGTACCATAATTTATGGGTCAATAAAGCTTAAATAAAAAAACGGTTATATAACCTAACCGTCACGTCACAAGTTAACGAATTGGGGAGGGCGAAATTGTATAAAAAATGATTGGTGAAATCACAAACCATGTATTAAAATTTTGAAATCTATCTTCAATTTTCATTATGAAAATATGACTATCTGTGGCGGGTTTCTCTCTCCCCGGGGAGGGGGATTTTTTCCCCGGGGGTGGGGAGACTAAATTACTGTAATATAATTTTTGAAAGCCCTTTTGGTCTAATAGCGACATCAAACCTTTTTGACATAATACACACTACAAAAAATCTGTTAAATCCTGATTTGGTCGTAGATGAGTATTTCCTGTTGGATCAAAATGGAATGGTGGAATCTGCCTTCGCTAACGATAATAATGGAGCATGATTCGATGAGAGTGAAATCAACAAGGTTAGAATATCTTGGCAATCTGTATACTTATCACTCAAAACAGTTAGAGCGCCGTATTAGCTTCGTTTTGTTTATTGAAATATGACGTTATAGCTCGGAAATGTCACGTGACATAGTGTTTAATGCGAATTTCAAACCAAGAGAAATAAAATTCATGTTTTCTCTATCAAATAAAGCTTTTTTTGAAAATTAAATAATTGTAGAGGATTTTAAATAAGTCTACAAAAATTATAAAATATATTTCAGAAAATTGTCAAGTAGCCAATTAGTAAAAGACGAGCAGAAAGAGACCTACACACTACCTACACATCAAAGCCAGTCTACATTTGTTTACATCGCAATGATAAAATTAAAAAAGCATCATCAAAATCGAATGGTTGTAAAGTTTATGCGAGTTTATCCACTCAGACAACGAAGGCTCGGATACGTTAATGGCAGGCTTATGTTAATCAGTGCCTTATTTTATAGTTCATTAATTCACTCTTCATTAAGGCTAATACCCCGACTTGTGCTGTGAAATCATAATTTTTAGCATAACTGTCCTAAACAAACAATTTTCTTAATCAGCCGTATATATTAAGGAGCCGAGTCCGTTATCGTATTACGCACGCGTAATCAATAATATTAATCAAATCTGAAAAAGGGCTTTGCATCTGGGATAAATATTTTCAAATTGTAATTATAATAATAAACTCTTGTAGCACAGAGAAGAAAATTGGTAAGTAAAAAATTAATAACAAGGCGGTCTTATTGCTATGAACAATTTCTTACAGACAACGTAGAAGATAAAAGTTTTGAGCAAGGAAAAAGTAGGTGGCGCAGTATAAAAAATAGAATTAGATATTATATTAATACTAAACTTATAAAATAAAATAAAGAAAGGTATATAAATAAATACATGTATAACAAAACAAAACATTTTGAGAGCGAAAGTGAGAATATTATAAACGTGAAAGTTGGCGAGTATGGATGTTACTATTTCACGCAAAAACTATTAAACTGATTTTGATAAAACTTAATCAAAATAACAACTAAGCTATCCATTTCACGCGGGTTAAATCGCGGGTACAACTAGTACTTACAATACGTAAGCAACTACAATCACTACCATTTGCAACAGCTCTAGTCGATATGTCTTGATTATATTGCAAATGGCATATATAGAAACGACATATTAAACTATTTTCACCGTGTTTTCTAAGAATAAATTTCCTATTTTAAATAAAGTGCAGTACAAGTTGCATATTAAGGAGTTTGTTGGGCTTCACAATCATTCAATGCGTCAATAAATCCATAATTACCCTTCGATCACATAAATATTATGCAACGTTTACAAGAACTGCATTTAGCAGATGAGATTTCTTTTTATATAACTGGAATGACGTCAGTTGTCAGATATAGAATAGAAGTAATCTTATCAAGAAAATAAAAAATATGAAGACATGGCTGTATGGGCAGTTCCCTTTGCCTTTCCGATAAAGGATAAAGAGAACCAAAAAAAAAAGAAGTAATCTTAATTCAAATAAACTCAATACAAGCACTTTTGAATAGTCATTTTTGTTTATTTTTACCACTCTAAATTGTAAATTATCCCCAAGTGTGGCATTAATTCTTAAGTTAGGTTAAGTTTTAGTTTTATTGTAACTGATTTTTTTAAGTAACCCTAACAAGCTTACAATCCAGCTACCCAGGGGTTATAGCCCCGGAATACCCGGAGGCCCCAACCTTCACCTCTCTAGGGGGGGTAAGGATGACTAACGTCAGTCATGATAACATGATGTCATAGACATCTGTCTATGCTCTCTATTAGTTTTAGGGTACAACCGGACTGGCATGCTTTTAATTGGTTAAAAAAGTCCCTAAATAGCACGCCGCCTTAGGTAAGTCGCAAGTTCGATTCCTCGCATGACACAAACATTTTTATTCATGAGAATGATTGTTTGTATCGGTCTCGGTGTTTTCTATGTATATTATGTATGTATTTACGAAAAAAAAATGTATTTGTATCAGTTATGTAGTACCCATAACACAAGCTTTATATAGCTCAACTTGGTTCTAGATGGTGCTGGGTGAATTGCCCTGAAATTATTACTATGACATTATTATATAAAAAAGGTGGACTTGTTAGCTTTATCCAAGGCAATTATATAAAAAAATCTATTCTAACTTACAGCTAGTGTCTGCCACTTGGCTTGGCGAAGCTCTTCTCGGATGAACATCATTTCTGGACGAAGATCACGATGAGCGAACGGATCCATGTCGATCTTCAATCTCGGATCTATCCCGGCTAGTTGTTGATCGCTGAAAAAAATGTTCTGTAACAGCATGTAGCTATACTCTCTTCGGCCAGTAGTCTTCCTTCATGAAGGTGTACAGCATGTTGGTTGGGACCCGGGTCACAAACGCTTTGAAGCTCGCATTGTGACTCGATTCCAGCTGCGTCACCCTCATAATATATATAGAAAACATCCAGACCAAGATCCGATACAATCGTTTATGCCGTGCGAGGAAACGAACTCACGACCATGAGAAAGAAGAAGAATGGCGTGTGTGCTAAACCGCTAAACCATCGATATTGTCAATTGACACAAAAATTCTATAATTACTCTATTATACAAAGATGAAAAGATGAAAGATCTCCATTATGTATGTTGAAGTGTGCATAAACTCTGGTAAACGACAATTAAAAAGCAATTAGGCTGAATAAAAACTGGGCGTACAGATCGTGTACTAGTCGGGGTGAATGGTCTTATAAAGTCTATAAATATTCTTCAGGCTTCCTGTAGATTATCTCGTTGATCAGAGATATTATTTTACTTCTAACGGCTTACATTATTTTATTATATATTACTAGCTGAATTTCGTCTGCATCACGCTTACTTGACATTTATCATACTATTTCGTCCAATATCCATACAATACAATCTTATTATACTATAGCAGGGTAGACGAACCAATGGCACGCCTGCCATTGACGGCACGCGACACAATATTTTGGGCACGTCGTCGATCATAAAACTGTTTGAAGAAACTGGCTCATGCTATTTTAACAATATTTGCACCTACCTACTCCTGTGAATCATTATTTTCAGAGATGAATAACATTAAAAACTCTGTTAGAAACTATTTTAACAGATAATCCAGTTCAACATGCGTTTTGCTAAAAGTAACATCGTACAAGCCTGACATAAATTATTTGTCATCTAACCTGCAGCAATAGAAGTCACACTAATTTTACAGTAATTTAATTTATGCGTGTAATAAAAACTATCCAAAATGTACTTCTTTTGTTTACTTTATTTCATATAGAGTTTTGATAGTATTTATTATTATTATTTTCTAAATAATCAGAAAGCCAAAATTATTTGATGCACGTCAATGACCCTATTAAACATTTTTTGTAAAAAATGACACGTTGATGCATAAAGGTTCACCTACCCTGTACTACAGCCTATATATATTATATTTTTTATAATGGAATGGTGCACCTGTCTGCGCTAAAGTTTTCACTGGCGGAAAACCCATGGAGGATGAACATGAGGTCAGGTCTGATAGCTCATCGTGATAAATTCACGAGGAAATTACCACTATAGTTAGGCCAGGCCATGAGAAACCATGTGGAGGTCAACCTGACATGGTACATTGCCAGCAATGGGTCAACAGTCCATTACTAACAATCCTCTTCCCCTCATCATATCCTGACATGCCCATTTTTGGGTATACTTCAATGCAATCTTGGAGAGGATGAGCCTAAAAAGCCTCTTGGATTAATATTAAATTGTTATTTACGCTTGGAGTAATGAATAAAAGTATCTCGACGACTCTATCTGACGACTGACGACGGTGACGACCTCGGTGGTATAGCGGTCTAGAATATCGTTTTACATCCGATGGTCGCGGGTTCGATTCCTCGCACGGTACTAACATTTGAATTCATGAATATGATTGTTTGTATCGGTGTGGGTGTTTTCTATGTACAATATGTATGTATTTACGAAAAAAAATTATCTATTATATATATTTGTATCAGTTATCTAGTACCCATAACACAAACTTCAACTAGCTTAACTTAGGTCTAGATGGCGCTGTGTGAATTGTCCTGAGATTATTATTATTATTATAATCTACTTGTATTTAAGTAGGTGGCATGCTTAATTTTCCAGGGTGCTTGTTAACGAGACTTAATTCATTTAATATCTCGCTAAGCCTTCCTAATTAGATTGACGACATATTTTAGTCCGTTGGTGTATTACAAATGAGGGGTTTGAGAGATAAAATAAGTAAAGATATGAAAAATCAGAGGAATACTTTCATATAAGGTAGGTATATATATAAATACAAGTATATTAAAATCGAATCAAAAAGTGAAATACCCCGTTGTTATGAATCAGTAAGTAAAATATAATATATTAATTAATCCACAAACATATTATGTGTGTGGATTAATTAATATATTATACTTTAATTGAGCAAAGCAACATAAATAAAAAAATATTTATTTACGTCTATTACAGACTCTTATGATAGAGAAATTAAATTAATTACCTAAATCTGCCGTCAGTTCGGAGTACTTTCGAACTAAGAAGAATTGATAAAATAAGACCTGAGTTTCTTACACAGTTCTTATTTTTTTCTAATGTACATGATTACAAAAATACTCCTTCATTTTTAATTCAATTAGAGAGAATGTTGCTCTCTTTTATACTAAAGGGACGGATGGTTAGGTCACTGAAGATTAATTCTCAAACTAAATAAATATAGATTTTGAACAAAAAAAAATGTAGTCCAGAATTATTGTAGTCAACAATAATTCTGGAGCGACTCGTACGAGACAGTTTTTTTTATAGCATAGGGGAGAACGAGCTAGCGGCTAATCTGATGGTAGGTGATTACCGCCGCCCATGAGCACCCGCAACACTAGAGGAATTGCAAGTGCGTTTCCGGCTTTTCAAGAAGAAATAAGCTCTTTTCTTAAAGGTTTCAATATCGTATCGATTCGGATTTATCATTGCTGGAAGGTAATTCTAAAATACAATTATACAATAGTTGTGCGTAGTAAAAGTAACATAAAACAACTATACTCATCACAACCACTGTAATTTTTCCGCCAGATAAAGTTACCTATATCCAAAGCCGTAACTATTTTTAAACTAAAATTCATCATAACCAATTCAGAGGTTTAGGCGTATAAATTTACCATACTTTTATATTTCTAATGCCAGCTATTACCCCGGTATGATGCAATCTACCTTTATGCTAAATTGTATTAAAATCCGTTTAATCATCAATCAATCAATCAAAAGGTAAACAGGCAGACCAACATACTTTCGCTTATATAATTTTAGTATGGATTAGTTGATGCTACATCTTTAGTCTGTCTCGCTGTCTGTGTGTTTAGATCTTTTAAAAGACGCATCAGATTTAATGCAGATTTCAGCAATAGAGTGATTAAAGAGGACGATTTATATGTATGTATATAAATGCATATTATATATAGTACACAAAAGTCGAGAAATTCAGAGATTTGTAATGCATTCGTGAGAAACCGGGTCGCTAGTATTTTACAAAGCAGTTTCTTAAAAAATGTAATATAATGACTATATGGATCGATGGTACTCACAATCTCGCTCCTACATCTGCCTCTAAGGCTCCAGCCTCTTCCAATGCGTCCGGCACAATTTCGCTATTCTCCGCAGACATTTGTATTTTAATATTTTTGTATTTTAACTAAGCAAACAAAATCACACGATTCTAGTGATTTTGTAAATGTTTATTTTTTAATATAATAACAGACTCTTTCTTTCTGAGTACACATATGCAATAGAGACTTTTTTTCTATTTAAATATTTAAAATTATAGCCAGTATTACTGAACATTGTGACTTTTTCTGCACAATCAAAATGGGCAAGTACTAATTTTTCGCGCAAGCCAAAGTTCCATATTAGAATGTTTCGTACTAATGCGAAACCGTTTTCTCTATTTATTTGTTATATTTTACAATAAAACGCCTGAACGGATTTTAAAAATTAAGTGACTTTTTATGTATAGCCCTAAAAATCATAGAGATCTCGTTTTTAAGGTGGAGGCGTTTGCCTAACCACTATTAATTGCTGATTTAAACATTTTTAACTAAAACGTAATGATTACTTGCTTAGTAGTATTTGCAACGAGTGACTGATTATTCTGTAGCTTACATTTCAAATGACATTGACATATCAGTCTGTACTGTCAACTGTGAGACAGCTGGTTAGCTGTCACCGTACTATCATTTTAGTTATTCTCAAGAAATATATCATAACAATATATAATCATAAATCCTTAATTTCATGAATTCTAAACTCAAATTGAGAATACAGATTAATTTAATATTTGTGTGTTACATTTTTGTGGACATATATAATGGATATATAATCTTAGTTTAGTGCTGTAAATTATAAAAAGTAACCATCACAATGAACGAAATTGACGACAAATTTTATTATGTGTACAGCTCGTCTCTCGACCACAAGGTTGAAATAAAGATGTAAGTAAATGAATACAATACCTCGGTCAAGGTAAAGTCCTATACCTGTTCATGTAACTTTAAGATATATCTTAGATATCTTATTACGCGTTTTGTATTACCAAAAACAATGGCCTGACGATTACAATAATAAACAAAACATTAAACGTAATTAGAGATTGACCACTTTATTTTTGCAACTTCGTATACACACTAATTATTAAACTATTTTATCCCGTTCGTATAAATTAAGAAGGTAACTTGAAAGAAAGGTTCCCTACCTTTCTTTCAATGGATTTTAGTTGACAGAGACTAGTAGCTCAATTCCTAACAATGTACCATACCAAGATGTATACCATGTTATCTCCCTGGAAGTCATTTTTGTGAATTGTTTGTGATTTTGCCACAATGGCTGACTGACCTGATTACATCTATATCTTATGATCTGCTATTCGATATATATCGATATGTCAAAACTGCTGTCATTTAGGAATTATTTCGATATGAGAAGAAATGACTTTTGACTACTGGTACCAGAATAGAATATTCTATTTTCTATTTGTTTTACTTTACAGCTGTACTTGTAACACAAATTAATGACATAGAGTTATTCTCACAAAGGACTTCTTCTCTTTGTGACAATTGTGTATTATTATTTTTTTAATTTCAGTGGGACATTGGAAGGCAAACGCACTAAACCTGAATATGATAAGTTGCTCTCGGACCCCATGCTCAAGTTCTCAGGACTCTATCAGGAAGGATGCTCAGATCTGTATGTGACATGCCAAGTCCTCAGTGATGGAGTGCCGCTAGCACTGCCTGTCACTACATCATATAAAGCCTTTACTAATAGATGGAAGTGAGTTGAAGATTTCATTATAAAAATAAATAATTTAGAGGGTTGGTGGTTGACTCACACTGTTCTATGTTTAATATATTTTTAGGAATAAATAACTTTTAATATATAAATAAATATGTTATATTTATATTTATTAGGAAAGTTATAACAGCCATAGCAGTATTTGTACACCATTATATCAATCTAGTATCTCAGATATTTCTTATACATTATCTTACATATCAATTGATATGTATATATATATGAGATTATATTGTTTGAGAAAACTGCAAGTGATCTACACGAAAGTGTATTTTATGTCTGTACTATTGTTAGTATATCTTTAAGAAAAATAGGTTCAATTCTAATTCAAAATATTTTTATTATTGTAGGCCTATTACCGTTATAATCTACGGTCAGTTCGGAATGATTTCGAGATAAGAAGAACTGACAAGAAACTCAGCTCATATTCTTTTCAAATTAATATTTTACAGGTTTACAATATTGAATAATTATTGTTTTGTCTAATTGTCCAATTTTCCCTCTCAAAAAAAAGTTCTTGCCAGAAATATTCTAAATTAATGTAGGAGTAGGTGTGGCAATGTAACTAACAGATATACTTATTTTTGCATTTACAATATTTTGTCATTTTTTTTAGCTGGAATGAATGGGTGACCTTGCCAGTATACTTCAGTGATTTGCCTCGGAATGCAACCCTGGCTATGACCATATATGACTGTGCAGGGCCAGGAAAAGTTATGATTGTGGGAGGCACCACTATATCCTTGTTTGGAAAACATGGTATGCTGAGACAGGTATGTTTGATCAATTGTAGATAATAGTTATTATACCTATAAAATACACTGTCTATATATATATTTGACGGCCTCAGTGGTATAGTGGTCCCGATGGTCGCGGGTTCGATTCCTCGCACGGCACAAACATTTGTCTTCATGGGTATAGCTGTTTGTAGCAATCTGGGTGTTTTTTTTTTTTTTTGTATGATAATGGAATGGTGCACCCACCTGCGCTAACGGTTTACGCTGGCGGGGCACCAGTGGAGGATGATAAGATGAGCATGAGGTCAGGTCAGTTAGCCCATCGTGACAAATTCACCAAGAATTCATCACGATGGTTTCCAGGGAGAACCACGTGGAGGTCGACCTAACATGGTACATTGCTAGCAATGGGAGTTACTAGTTCCCATTGCTAACAATCCCTTTCCCCCGCAATCTGGGTGTTTTCCATATATATTATGTATTTGCAAGAAAATGTGTATATGTATTTGTCAGTTGTGTAGTAACCACTACACAAGACCGTGAGACAAGACGGCACTGTGTTAATTGTCCATGGTTAATATTATTATTATATTCATATGAATCTGTATAAATCGAATAAAAAACTATGTTGGATATTTTTATATTAATTTTATTGTATTGTATTAATTTTTTTTCCTACTGTCGAGTTCAGTATACAGATTCAATTGAGAAGAACTGTTTATTTACATTGTACACTTATAATTATTTAAACTTTATTGAATTGTACCATAGGTGTATGTCTAACATTAAATGAAAGTCCCGTGCATAAAAAACTATTGCCATGCACATTTGTCATTTAAATAATTATTTCGTGGTTAATGTATATATACATATATATGTATATATACTTATGTACAAATAGGCAAGACAAGGGTGACCACGCAAACTATTTCGTATGAAGTGTTCCTTGTCCATATAGTGTCAAATATAAAATGAATTAATCATGTTAAAATCTTACTTATATCGCTATTGCAATCTATAAATAATAAAGCATCAGAGGTCTCTGGACTTCAATAAAAACAACATATGATTTAATAATCTAATTCTAGAATGGAAACAAAACATCCATTCAATGTTATACTATAATTATTAATTTATTAAACAAAGGTTATCAATTATCTTTATTAACTGGTCACAGAAAGTAAAATTACAGAAACATCACTATTTAAAGTAAATGACCCGACAAACATCGTTTTACGGTATAAATATTTAAAAAAGTTTTAATAGTTAATTGATAATTTTGGGTTGAAGGTATTTTTAATGCAGAATCATAAAAATGTAAAAACAATATTTGGACTATTGTATATAAAAAAGCAGATTGCCAATTAGCAGTTGCCATAAAGAAAAAAAAATGCGAATTCGCAATTTCTAGCTAAGATCTTGATCAGTTCAACTTTCATACAAAAACCGCATCGTAGAGACATTCGTTTTGGAGATACGATGTTACAGACAGTCACATATAATGGTTAGACGTGTAACACCCAGACCCAGACATTTACCAGTCTTCAACAACCTGGCATAAGCTGGAATATCTAAGGCTGGATTCTCAATGGAGAATCACCTCTTACAAGGTTTTACACGATCAACAATCTGTTTATAGTCAGGAATACTGATTGCATGATGTAATAGAAAAAAATAAGTAAAACATCCGTCTTTTTGCGTAGTCTATGATCAGTAATATACTTAATAATATAAATTGTTTATGCCAATAGCCTTCTCTTAAAGGAATATCTTATCGCTAATGTGAATTCTGGAAAAAGCCGTTTCCCGGTCAGTTTGCGTTCATCCTTAAAGTAATATACAAGTAGTTCAGTGGTCGCCCAATTGTCGAAATCCAACCATAACTAATTTAAATAATATTAATCTATTTTCAATTTGAAATATATGGGTGTGTGTCGAAAGAGATACAAACCATCGCTCCTAAAAATATCCTTCAGTTCTTGACCCTGATGTATCTTGGTAGCGAACTTTGAAAACGGGGAGCACAATAGATTTATGCAGGTCACAGTGCTTAACATCTGAAAATAGCCCAAAATCCTCAATAAAAAAAGTGCGTGTCAAATATATGGTAGTGCATGTAATATTTTTTTATTGATTTAATGCATTCTTATGTATAATATAAAAAATATACATATATTTCTCTATACAGATGAGTGCAGAATATAAGTTTTCGTAAAGAGGGGTACCTACTAAGTTTTTGTTTCACGTATATATATAATAATTATTATGTAATGTTATACACAAATTATATTGTTACTAATGAATGAATAAATAAATTAATTCCGAATAAGAGACATCTAGAGAAATATTGTTAAAACAATTTAATAATAGAAATACTGTCATATTTTTTATTGTTAAAAAAGGGCATGTTCGATCTGCGAGTGTGGCCGGGAGTTGAAGGTAGCGAGAAGACGCCGGGTAAAGCACCTGACCGCGGCAAAGAGCAGATGCAACGACTTGCCAAGTTGGCGAAGAAACATCGCAATGGACATATGCCTAAGGTATCTATCTGTCTATATTTAACTATATAGTGCCTGGTGATCTGTATTACAGGTATAACCTATTTCAGACATCAGCTATTCACAGCATATTGATTATAATAGTAAGTTTGTGCATTGTATTATCAAACATACTACATGTGTTTGTTGCCATCCATGTTTGTAAGGAGAAATAAAATATTTATTGTTATATATATAAAATTCTCGTGTCGCAGTTGCCATACTTATCAAATTTAAAAAAAACATTTTGGCCGCTTATAAAAGTATTTTTTTTTTATTATATTTTTTTCCCCTACGGTATAAGTAAGTACCCGAAACGGCTACATTTTTATATGTATATTTGGTAGGTTGTTATCTATTTTTATAATCCTAAATCACACCAAATTTTATTTTTATTTTTAGATTAATTTTATAATTCGTCTTTAAAAAATACATACAACTCTAAATTTTCACCCTTCTACTAACAACCCCTATTTTTTATTAGCGATATTAATTTATATGACAAATCAACGTTTGCCGGGTAATTTTTATTTACAAAAATCTGAAAATATTTAATTAGATGACGCTGTGTCAATTATTTAAGGTTGTTTTTTATTAAGATTTTTATTTACAAAAGATCTGAATGGCGCAGTGTGAATTGTTTTAGATTATTTTTTTATTAACATATTATTGTTTCAGGTTGACTGGCTGGACAGATTGACATTTAGAGAAATTGAAATGATAAACGAGAAAGAGAAAAGAAGTTCTGACTACATGTATCTTATGATTGAGTTTCCTACAGTCCAAATAGACGGTATCAATGTAAGTATTATTGAAATTACTGCCAATGTACAAAACTTTGAACCAACCGCTAAGAAATGTAAATTAGATGTAACCCGCGGTTATACACGCGAGATTTTTTGTAACAAGATGGTGGCAATCACTGCCGTATGCCATAGCATCTGATGGTAAACAGTTACCGTAAACTATACAGCTAGGACGCTGGAAGGGATCGTAAGTTCGGAGTGTTTTCGAGCTAAAAAGAACTGACAAGATACTCATCTTTTATAATGAATGAATGAATGAAAATCATGTACATGATTACAAAAATACAGATTCATTTTAAAAGCATCTCAAAATAGTTTACTTTCTTAATAACCTTCCAGTTTATTATTTTTATTAAACACTTTTAATAAACCATACAACACTTTTTACTGCGGTTCCCAATTATCATACAACTCCGGACGTTTAGGACCAAAATTAATTTAGGTCCTTCAAATAGTCTTTCTGATTGGTCCCATTTTTAATTGAGTTTTTGAAGTCGGTTATTTTTGTGTGAATGAGTGGTAGGAAAAATAAAAAATTTAAGACAATATAAATCCTTGATTTTTTTATCTTTCCACTTCTATTAGCACGCCGTGGTGTACTACGAACAGGACGGTGATGAAATGTATCAGTTCCGCGCACAAGCTGAGATCGTTACCGTTCCAGACTACGAGATATTACAGGTAAGATAAATGCTTTGCTTCTTCTTAACTTTTTGGACTACGCACCAAGGAGACACATCTTTACGCAACAACGCTGCCCGAGGCACGTTCTTATTGATCACGACTACTATATAATAGCAGCAAACCTCACAGAAAAACAGGTTCATCCATCCGTCCCTACAACGTCACAACACTAACACACGACATGGTCCTCGCCGGCGAAGACGTCGACCTCAACAACACCATTCAGCGCTATCAACCGGGCGACTGCGCGCGTCAAAGTGCTCCACACCGGCGCGGCGCCCCCGATCGCTTCTCCAATCGATCCCTCGTTCTCTTCAAACGTGGGTTTAAATGACGACGGCCTTAGCCGAGGTTCTAACTCATAGTGGTGCCCTCAGAATATTCGTTTCCGTAGTTGGCCTTCAACCTCTTAATAAAACCTTATACGGGTTAGAAGTGCCATCTTCAGCCGTCGTCTATCGTTTGGTGAATCTGTAAAGGTTACCTGCGGCATTAGAATAGTTTGAAAAAAAAATACTTTACACCAGAATATATCTTAGTTATTCTTTATAAAAAAAAAAGAATTGTATAATTGGTTGTTATCTAACTGTTTTTATAATATAGATGAATACCTTTCACAAATGGTGAAAAAGTGACTAATACTAATAAATAAATAAATTATAATAATATATGTATATGTATGTAATAATGAGCAATGTATAATAACAATATTTCAATTGACAATTGTCTGTTGCATGTCAGAAATAACTAAATGTGCGAACAATATAATAATATTCAAAATACCACATCCAATGTACCACATTTTCATTCATTCATTCATAATTTATTATGTCGGTGGATTCTTTATCCATTTCATTCGTGCTCCATTTATTAGGGATTTATGCGATAAAATTTCATTTCATTTCATTTCATTTGTTCTTTCTATTCGATTTGGTGTAAAATTTTTCATCTCCTTACCTCTTCACATCATTTTATCAAAACACAATTATCTTATATTTGGCGGTTGAAAGAGGTACAGAGGCTTAAGTACCTCGGGTACTATGTTGGGTGGTGATGCGCAGGAGAACCTGGTGGAGAGCAAGCAGCATCGGCTGGCGAGATCGCTGCGGTCAGGAGTGTCTGGCCGAGACGCCAAGCCCACCGCCGCAGAGCGCGACCAGCTCGCCGCGCTGGTGGCTGCCCCGCCCGCCGCCGCCCCGCCTGCCGCAGACCAGGACCTCGTGTGGAAGTTCAGGTAACTCCCCCGCAGCCTGAACCAGCTCGCAGCGCTGGACACCAGTTCGAACCCGGGACCATTGGAAGCGATACGGTGTGCTAATCCACTAGAACACAGTGGCAGTCTTAAAAAAGCCGTAAATAACATATAATGTACACAATTGTAAACGACTATGAAAAAAATTAAAAACAATGTTTATTATTTGTCTAGATTACGTATATTAATTTAAAACATTATATTTTTCAGATTCTACCTTTCGTCCCACAAACGAGCTCTTACGAAGTTTCTGGAGTGTGTCAATTGGAACCGCCCAGGTACGTATCTTTTTCTTATAAGTTATTTCAATAAAAGATTGTTATTATATGATTTTATTACTTCTTCATTTCTTTATCTTTTTGTTTTGATTGCAGGCGAGGTACGCCAAGCCTTGTCTATGATGAAACAGTGGGCGCCGATGGACGTCGAAGACGCTTTAGAACTACTCACGCCTAAGTTCACACATCCGGCTGTTAGGAAGTAAGTTTCCCCTTCAATCGATCCCACACGACACCGTCCTCATCAAGGAAGACAATAACCTCAAAAACGCCAACCGGCGATACTCAATACCCGCGCCCCCAGTCGCCACTCCGAACGATCCCTCGTTCAATTCAAACTGAGATCAAAATTACGGCGGCCTGAGTAGAGGTTCGAACTCCTAGGAACCCCTAACGGTGCCCTCAGACTAAAGTCGTATCCGTCAAGCGCTAGTTGGCTTTCAGCCGCTCCATAAGTCCTTTCGCGTGTTTGCAGTGCCATCTGCACTCGCCCCCTATCCTTCCCCTAGCTTCGGTAAAGCTGTAAAGACTACCAACGGACAATAGCATCGGAATAGTTAAAAAAGACTTAATTATATATTAACTAGTGACCCGTCCTGGGTTCGCACGGATTCATTACAAATCTTTGAATTTCTTGGCTTCTTCTATACTATAACACGCATGTATTATACATATAAACCTTTCGAATCACTCTATCTATTGCTGACAACTGCTATAAGATCCGTTGCGTAGTTAAAAAGATATAAGCGAACAGATGGACGTCTTCCGGGCTGAGGTGATGATGATGATGAAGCGAACAAATAGCGGCGGCGATTTTGTTTTATACTATGTAAAGATTAATATATATGTAAGTAATTATATAGATATGTGTTTATTTATTAAGGTATGCAATATCTCGCTTGAAACAAGCACCCGACGAGGATTTGCTTCTCTACTTGCTACAATTGGTGCAGGCCTTGAAGTATGAAGACTATTTGGAAATACAGGAAGGTGTGTTAATATTATTTTCAATTAATTGTTTTAATCTAACAGTTATTTATCATTATATTTGTAGTTGATAAGAGAAAAACATATTTTATAGAATTACTTTATATTTAACTAGCTATTCGCCCCGGCTTCGCACTCGTGTACATGTATTATATATATAAATCTGCCTCTTGAATCACTCTATCTATTAAAAAGACCGCTTCAAAATCCGTTGCGTAGTTTTAAAGATTTAACCATACATAGGGACGGACAGACAGAGACAGCGACTTTGTTTTATACTATGTAATGATTCATTTATATTATTTTGTTTAATACTGATACCTAATACATCGCGGTAAAGGGCGATTTACCACGATGGTTTCCAGGGGAACTGCGTGAAGGACGGATATGGTACATTGCTAGAAATGGGGTTACTACTCCACATTACTAACGATCCCCATGCCCCAACACTACTATACCATTATTAGTGACCACATAGACAATATTTTTTTTCTATTAATTTTAATATAGTTCATATGTATGTAGTCTGTAAGATTAAAAGTAAAAAAAAAAATTTAAAATTTGTTGACAACATGGTCCACAGTCGGCATATACTGCAGGGATGTTAGGGAGCTCCGTAACCGTAACCGAAACTGTTGGATATCCGATATAAAAAAATATTCGTAACCGTAACGGAATCCGAAATAAAAGTTTCGGATAATATCGGATAATAGGGGCGGAGCCTAATAGCTCCCCTATTCGATATTATCCGAATAATAAAGATATATTCGGATATATAAAGACGCCATTTTATTAGCTATTTGTAATTTACTTTTGAAATTCCTTAAAAAAATTATATCCAAAACTAACGGATAATCCGAAATAATTTCATATCCGCATCCATATGCGTATCCGGTATAATAATCGTTCCCATATCCGAAACCTATCCGTATCCGAAATTTCATATCCTTAACATCCCTAATATACTGTGACAGTAAATTGTCATGATCTGATATTCCTAGTACAATGAGGTATTAAACAGAAAATAGTATTATAATATTATTCTTGGACAATTCACACCATCTAAAAGCGCCATCTAGTGCCAAGCTAAACAGGACTTGCTATATATAATAATAGCTGAGCCCGCGACTTCGTCTGCGTAAAATGACGACACTTCCATACAACTTTTCAATCTCTTGCAACCCTTGTTTTGCATTATAAAGTAGCCTATGTCCTTTGTCAGGGTCTAAACTATCTGTGTACCAAATTTCATTTAAATCGGTTCAGTGGTTTCGGCGTGAAAGCGAGACAGACACACAGACAGAGTTACTTTCGTATTTATAATATTAGAAAGGATGTACCTGTATATATACAAAAGAAAATATTTTAGTATGTCTACTAGTCCCAAGTTAGGCAGAGCTTACTGCGTAGAATATGTATGTATTAACATAATGTATTTAGGTATTTCTATCATTGTTATTTAGTTGTTTAGTACTGCTTTACTTGGGCTATTTGGCGCTCAATTAATTGTCAAAAAAAACTATTCACTTGGTGACTGTGCCGTAGAGTGCGTGAGGATCTGTGGGAAGGAGGCGATAGCATATTCAGAGGTGGATGGAAAGCTTGTGCAGAGCGGACAGCGAGGCAGCCAAGCCAGCCTGCTCTCTGTCTCAGGTACAAGCCGTGGAATAGAATAGTATAATATATTTTGTTAATAAACTTAAGTTTAAGCACTGTTGAGTTATATTTAGTAATACTTATTGGAAGAATAGAATAGAACATTCTACATTCAAATAAACTTAAATTTAAGCACTTTTGAGTTATAGTTAGTCATACTTATTTATTGGAAGAATGGAATAGAACATTCTATATTCAAATAAACTTAAATTTAAGCACTTGTGAGTTATAGTTAGTCATACTTATTTATTGGAAGAATAGAATAGAACATTCTACATTCAAATAAACTTACATTTAAGAACTTGTGAGTTATAGTTAGTCATACTTATTTATTGGAAGAATAGAATAGAACATTCTATATTCAAATAAACTTAAATTTAAGCACTTTTGAGTTATAGTTAGTCATACTTATATATTGAAAGAAACGAACAGAAAATTTTATGTTCAATTAAGCTTAAATTTAAGCAGTTTTGAGTTATAGTTAGTCATATTTATTTAATAATTGGTTCGTTTTAATGAATATTAATGGAATGGTGACATTTTTTTAGATCATTTAAAGAGGAAAAATTCTTTCATACATATATTTTGGTAATTTGAATAGTTTACGCAGCGCACGCAACGGAAGCCCTCAATAATTTTACCCGTTTTTGCAACATTTTTCACCGATGCTTCGCTCCTATTGGTCATAGCGTAATGTTATACAGCTTAAAGTCTTCCTCGACAAATGGACAATCCAACAACAAAAATAATAGAACCAGTAGTTCCTGAGATTAGCGCGTTCAAACAAATAAACTCTTCAGCTTTATAATGTTAGTAAGTATAGATAAACAGTAAATTAAGTAGCGACACCAATTTAATTTATTGTTAAGTGTTGAGTATAAACACAGCGCTACATATTCATCACACACAGGGGTGCTGACGTCCAGCGAGACTTCGACGTCGACGAGCAGCCCTCGGAGTGCGGGGGCGGCGGGGGCTGCGGGGGGCGCGGGGGCGGAGGCGGCCGCCGCCGCGGAGGAGGACGGAGACTCCGCACTGGCCTCGCACCACTACGGGTGAGTCGCGGTTTCACCTACGTGACATTTATAGCCTATGTGATCTTATATTAAACTAGCTATGCCCACGACTTCGTTCGCGTGGTGAAGACCAAATTTGACTACCATAAAAAAGGTTATGGTGAGTCAATCTTAAAAGATAGACATGTACTGTCGCATTTTTTACGTTCATATTTTTGGGTAACTTGAACCGTTTGTCTGTCTGTCTGTTTGTTCCGGATAATCCCTGAAATGGTTGGACCGATTTTTATTGGCAGGTAACTGATGTCATAAGGAGTAACTTATTTTAGAAAAACAAAATTATAATCCACGCGGACGAAGTCGCGGATGAAGCTAGTTATGATATATAAATTGTGCAGGGCGTGCGAGGGCTCGGAGGGGTGTGAGGGCGCGGAGGGCGAGGAGGGGTCCCTGGCGCGGTTCCTGGCGGCGCGCGCCAGCAGCAACAGCGTGGTCGCCAACTACCTCTACTGGTACCTGCTGGTCGAGTGCGAGGACCAGGACGGGGCGCAGTCCGCCGCCCGCCCCATGTACCTCACAGTCATGAGGATCTTCTCGCAGCGACTCGCCAGGGGTAAGCACCCTCACTATGTACTCTACAATCTGATATCTTTATTTTTTTAAAGTAACCGTCAGAATATTGTCATTACTAACTTCTCACAACCTTAGGTTGGCTGGAAGACATATCTTGAGAGATAAGCCACATTACACACATTGCTCACATTTATGTATTATCTTTATTTATAAATGTAACAAGTGCAATAAAGTATATTAATATTCGTATTTCCCCCTCTGATCGATTTCTCGTCCAATTCAAACGGGGTTCGAAATTACGACAGCCTGAGCCGAGGTTCGAACCCCTAGTTCGAACCCCCTCAGACTAAAGTCGTATCCGTCAAGCAGGAGTTGGCCTTCAGCTGCTCCATAAGTCCTTCCGCGGGTTTGGAGTGCCATCTGTATTCGCCTATCGTCCGGTGAAGCTGTAAAGGCCAGCTACGGCCAACAGCATTAGAGTAGCCCGAAAAAATCTTCGTTTTCCTAAATCTAACATAGTTTTAAATTTTTTACATTCCATTGTACGATTGTCGATATAATGCTTATGTACACATTATAAACATTATATCGACAGTTATCTAGCGGTTCAGGCACCACCTTTCTTCCAATGGGTGTAGGTTCGATTCCTCGAACAGTGCAAATATTTGTGATCATGATTGTTTGTGTCGATCCGTGAATGGTATGAACCATTTCATATGATATATGCTTGCATGTATACCTAAGGTATACTTTGTAATAACAAACGCACGTACTCTATATATGATAGTTTATTTATTTAATCTTTTATAGTTATCATTATAAAAAATGTTATTTGAATATTTGAATATTTTTCAACTTAACTTAACCTAAACTTTACCTATACCACAGATAACATAATATTACATACCTATACCAATTTGTTTTACTAATCCCTCCTTATAATAATAGTGTCAAATCAATTCAAAAATAATTTATTCATGTAGGACATTTTAGCCGCTTATGAACGTCAAATTATTTGTATCATCATTATACAGTATAAAACAAAGACGCTGTCCCTGTCTGTTCGTCCCTATGAATGCTTAAATCTTTAAAACTACGCGACGGATTTTGAAGCGGTTTTTTTTTTCAATAGATAGAGTGATTCAAGAGGAAGGTTTATATATATAATACATGTACACCCGGGTCAAGTCGGAGCGAGTAGCTAGTATTTTATATATGTTCCCTATAGTGAAAATTACTACATTTTTTACTTCAAGTATTAATATAATAATTGTACATAGGCAATGCAGACCACCAAAGAACACGCTTGTTCCTCGCTCGGCAACAAGTATTTATAGACAAACTAGTGAAACTAGTCAAAACGGTCGCCAGGGAGAGTGGCAACCGCAACAAGAAAGCCGAACGTCTCCAGCAACTCCTGGCAGACCCTGATGCCTTCAAATTCAACTTCACAAACTTCGAACCGATGCCGTTCCCTCTAGACCCAAATGTGACCATCAAAGGTATAGTCGCTAAAAAGGCGAGCCTGTTCAAATCAGCTCTAATGCCGTCGAAGCTCACCTTCCTGACCACAGAAGGGATGGAGTACGAGGCTATATTTAAACATGGCGATGATCTCCGTCAAGATCAGTTGATTCTTCAAATGATTACGTTAATGGATAAGCTGTTGAGACGAGAGAATTTAGACTTGAAGTTAACTCCATATAAAGTACTAGCGACCAGTTCCAAGCATGGTTTCCTGCAGTTCATAGAGTCTGTGACTGTAGCAGATGCGCTGACGACTGAAGGCAGTATACAGAACTTCTTCAGGAAACACAATCCGTGTGAAAGTGCGCCGTATGGAATCAAACCTGAGACCATGGACACGTATATACGCAGCTGTGCCGGTTATTGTGTGATCACATACTTACTTGGTAAGTTATTTTATAAACACTACATGTATTATTAAGTTTTTAATGAAAATTAAACCTTAATTACAATAAATTTAAAATATAATTTTAATGTTATGTAACTGGTATGTAATTGGTAGTTTGTATTCCCACATTTAAAATTAAAAATGTAAAGTTTGAACTAAATTGTTCAATAGAACAAGACGAAAGTTCCGTGCTCGTTCTTGTTGTGATGAGATAGCTTTACGAATGAGCGGTAGATTAAAAAAAAGTGATGATTATTCTATTCAGTTCACATCCACCTCCCTATTACAGGTGTCGGCGACCGTCACCTCGACAACTTGCTGCTGACGAAGTCTGGCGCGCTGTTCCACATCGACTTCGGGTACATCCTGGGACGGGATCCGAAGCCGCTGCCACCTCCGATGAAACTCAGCAAGGAGATGGTGGAAGCAATGGGTGGTATACATTCGGAGCATTACCACGAGTTCAGGAAGCAGTGCTATACAGCCTTCTTGCACTTAAGGAGGTATGTCTATATGGTATGACGACCTCGGTGGTCTAGCGGTCTAGCACACCGCTTTACGTCCGATGGTCGCGGGTTCGATTCCTTGCACAGCACAAACGTTTGTATTTATGATTATTTGTATCGGTCTGGGTGTTTTCTATGTATAATATGTATGTATTTAGGAAAAAATTAAGGATTTTATTTTTGTTCTTTTTATCCTCTACCGGAAAGGCAAAGGGAACTGCACCCATACAGCCATGTCTTAATATTTTAGATTTTTTTGATATTTTTTTTTTAATGTCAAGACGTTAAAAAAAAAGAATAAGTATAATAATAATACTTAATATATAAAAAATATTTTGATTGATTGATGACAATATTATTTGCAGACATGCCAACCTGATGCTTAACCTATTCTCTCTGATGGTGGACGCATCAGTACCGGATATTGCACTAGAACCGGACAAGGCTGTGAAGAAAGTTCAAGATAAATTGAGGTATGTAGTGCATTGGTACCAAATTGTTGTAACGTGATTATTTATTTGTTTTTTTTTTAAACTACTCTAATGTTGCTGGCCGCATCTGCGACCATATAAAGTAAAGCGGTGTGCTCTACCTAATCTATTAGGTCTGTCTGTCTGTTTGTTCCGGCTAATCTCTGAAATGGCTGGACCGATTTTGACGAGACATTTATTGGCAGGTAGCTGATGTAATAAACTGTAACTTAGGCTACCTTTATTTTAGAAAAATAAAGTTAAATTACACGCGGACAAAGTCGCGTGTACAGCTAGTATATAATAATAACATAAAAACACCCGTGTTTGAGTATGGAATATATGTGTATATAAAATTAATACAATTAATTATAATGTTGTGTGTAAGTATATAATGTGGATGTTTATATATAGAATATATCATCACCTGCTTCTTCCTTATCCCATTTATTAGTGGTCGCCGTAATATGTTTTTCTCTTCCATTCATCTGTGTTCGCAGTCATCTCGTTATTTACTAACTTTCTCACCATATCATCTTTCACACAGTTCATTCATCTCTTTTTCGGTCTTCCTCTACCCTTATAACCATCCACATTCATATGTAACACCGTCAGATAATAGATATATAGAATATATAAATACAATAAATATATATATGTGTGCCACAAGATTTATAAATCTAACCCAAGTCATTACAATGTAGTAAATTCATAGATAAGTCAAAATCTACTTCGGTCATACTTATTTCTTGTAATTAATTCCTTCACAGACTGGACCTGGGTGATGAGGAAGCCGTCCACTACCTCCAGAACCTGCTGGATATGTCGGTCACAGCTGTGATGGCTGTTCTCGTTGAACATTTCCATAAATTTGCTCAATACTGGCGTAAATAATACATTCATCACTATTTTGTACGTTTCTAAATTTTTAGTCTCCATTTTTTTATATCCACCCTGCAGCATATCTATATTTTTATCCAACTTAAAAAAGTGGATAATTTTCAAATCTGCTATTTATATGTGTCTAAATATTTTTCTACACTTAGCAGTTAATCTAGATTTTTCATTTGGCTTTCAAAAATGGAACATTCTGATATTAACTGTATTTCTTTTTGTTATATCAGAACTTTCTTGTAAGTAAATAGATTTCGACGATTCTGTACTTATTTGAAAGTTGATGCCAGTCGTGTGGTGGGACCACATGACTGGCATTAAATTTGATCAAGATGTGACAAGTAGTTTTTGAGTTAACTGAAACTTAAAATACTGCAATTGAATTGTTTTTTGCCTGAACGTGGTATTGTTATTGTCCCAATTTATTCCTTGATATTTAAACTAGATTTGATAGACTAGTTGCCGCCCACGATGTCATTTAATCGAAATATTATTTAGCCTATACCTATTATGCTAATATCAAATTACTAGATAATTAGTTTATTAAAGCATAACAAACATACACGCTTACAATTATATAGTGTTATGTGGATATGTTATCATTTGCTTTCGCTATAGTAATTTAAATTCATATTACCATCCTTGAAATTAATGTAAGTGTAACTACCTCGTAAGGCCCAAGCTATTTTATATCTAACAGAACGCCTCATAAACAATATAAACTAAAATATCTTCTGGCATAGTTTTCTTGTAATATATATATATATATGGAATGATGCACCCGCCTGCGCTAATGGTATACGCTGGCGGGACACCAGTGGAGGATGATATGATGAGCATGAGGTCGGTCAGGCCAAGCCAGATTTTATCGTGATGGTTTCCATGGAGGTCAATCTGACATGGTACATAGAGATGTGAGCTTCGCGTAACCTCAGTAACCGACTACTAACTTGCTTGTCGCTGCGGTCATATAATTTACATTTGAAATTTGAACTATTTACATTAATCTGCCTCGGCCGGCAGAACTCCAGCGCAATGCAATGCACTAGAAAGCTATGCTATTATTAAAAGTACTTTAGGTATATCTTATCTTTATGTATGTATGTATAATTACATAATAATAGTATATTATTATGTATTAATATGTGTCATCAGTCCACATAGCTAATAATCACCTTCCCCCCATACGACCCACGACAATTTGTTTATTATAGATCTCAACTTGCTTTTTGTTACATAATTTTCTAAATACCTGAGGGTAGATAAGCTTGGTATGGGTTCCAATGCTAAATGTTATTTTGTGTATTATAATATAAACTACATTGGGCCTTATGGATGTAGAATATATTGTTAATGTACTGTGATACGATAGATTGTAAGTTTTGTAATAATAAATTATTTTTATATATAATTTTTTTTTTGCCTATGGTTTCTGGCCGTATGAAATTGGGGTAACAAATGTTTTATATGTTAACACATGGGTATGATTTTAAATTATATTGAGGAAAATGGCGAGATGAATTGCAAATGTGCATAGTTCTTAAATTACGGAGAGTCAATACATACACTGCTTGAATAATCTTATCCCTGTGGATAAGATGCCCAATGGTGTAAAATTAGGGTGTAGTTAGTAAATTGAACTACAGAAATATTTTTCCTTTCCGTAAGAGCACAATTCCTCAATTATGTATGAATGAAGACACACATTTCTCGAATAAGCTCATCCACGAATGCCCAAGGATATGTTAAAATTAAGGTAGTTAGCAAATTAAGCTACAGAAAGTTTCCAAAGTTTCTTTTTTGTATTAAAAATTCACAAAATGCTTATACCGACTCTCGCGGAAATAGTAACATTGAGATGTAGAAAACGAATAAAACTTTATAACGCCATCTAGTGGTACAGTTGTAAAACTAAAAAATAAATATCTCGTTCGATTGTACATTTCCATATACTAAATTGTCATGATTATTAAATGATATATTAAAATATATTTATTCTACATTGATCATATTCAACGTTTAAAATAAAAAGTAGAAAAAAAGTTGCTTAAAACAATATAAATTACATGGATGAATAATATAAGTAAATAAAACATCTGAGAAAAATATATAAAATCTTATTTCCAAATTAATAAATATTTTTTCTATAATATGATCAGAGTATATAATATAATATCTTATTAAAATATAATGCAATATCTTTCTAGACTTTTTTAAATTAAAACCCTTTATTTGTAATGTTTTTCAATCAAATTACTATGTTTGTTTAAAAATTTTAGAACAATCCAGGCAAAATGTATTTTACACTATTTTTCTTTCATTTAGGACCTTTTGGCCTATTGCGTACGTCATATTTTTTATCATTATCCCTACAGTTCGGCTGCTACTTCAGTTGAAATGAACACTCAACAGGTAATTTTGTTTTGTTAATATTATGTTTCATCTTTAAATAATATTTAAGATCACTTTAATGATATAGCATTTAACTGCAATGGCATATAAGCAGGCAACCCACCTGAATCAAAATATATGGCCATAACCATAGCCTATATGCATAAAAATTACATGACAATCTGACGCCCGTAACGAATTATGTATTGCCATTCCGGAGGTTAATCCTCAGCAGAAATATGTATGCGGACAACTCTTTAAAAAATCTACCAATAAAAGTCTGAAATTATGTTACAAAAATCTTAATACTATATCACATTCAAGTACTTGCTACTAACAAATCTCTGCCACTCGCGACACAGTCACTTGCAATATATATTTTACTGCCTGTTGAAATCTGTACCAGATCACAGGCTGCTATTTCAGCATAATTCACACCCCCAATAACATAAATAAATACACTTTTAGGCTTCAATGGAAAAACATTACCAATATTTGGGTCATTCTTCATCAACTTCGACAAGCCTTTAGCATCTTTACACCCAAACTCTAAGTCACTTTGCAACTTTAAGTCCGATAGTTTCTGATTCAATGTCTCCATTCCATTACTGAATTTCTCAAGAATATCTCCCCCTACTCTCAGATCTGATAAAGCTGATAATTTAGTGAACACCTCAGCTAGAGACTCCGATGTTAAAATTGTATTACATAGAACTGCTGTGAGTGGAACATAACCACCATTAAAGACATAGCTCGGTGATGACTTGTTAACTTTATCTGGTTGAGATGGTAGTTGTTTCAATTTATTAGCAGCCACTTGAAAGCCACTTTGCCATTTCGGTAATCTATCACTTAAATTTGAAATACTTAGTGACAGTTTTGGACTAGAAGGTTGAACCAACAAGCCAGCGTTAACTAAATTGTTGAACACATAGAGATACTTATATCCAAAAGCCATCAAATATTTGCTAACAAGAGAGTTGTATTCATCGTAAGATAAGCCCTGAGTCAAACTGAGAAGACACATTAGTCTCAGGCTATTGTATATATGAATATCAGTGCCAAAATTCTCATCAACAAATGTGAAGTTAGCTTTTTTATTTCTATTATTCAACATATCAGTTTCTGTAAATTTTAGATTTTCAAATTTTTGACTCATATCTGATATTATAGTTTCACAAGCTAATACATGGTTGACTAGATTTTGTTTGAATAATGCAACTTGTTGTAACTTTGTTGTGACATAATGCTTCATTTCTTGAATACCTAACGCTTTAATATCTTCATTCTTCAATAGCTTTGCTTTCGAACTCAGCACACTTAGAACTTCAGAGAAATGTCTATGTTTTATCTCTCCATAGAGGTTGTCTATAGAACTATCTAATGTCATTACTGCATTCTTAGAGGCAACATCTTCATCCTTAAAACCAAAATCCATTTTACCTTTTTTCTGTATTGTTTCCTTAACATTGAGATCTAAATGTCCACAGTTAATATTGAAGAGCTCACTCAGTAAGCCACTATATGTGGCTGGTGTGAGTAAACTTGATTGATAATCCTGATTCCTATCAATCAATATTAATGCCCCTATTTCTTGAGAACTATTATTGTTTAAAAAATCTCTTGCATATGTCTCATTATAAACTTCTAATATATCTAATACACTGGCTGAAAGCTTACCCACAGAGAATAATATCTTTGGTTTACCAATAACATGAAATAAACTCCATATTGACATGGCAACACTAGATAATAATGAGTGGTTTTGTTCAACAAACAATTGCTTATACAAAAATGGCAACTCCAGACTCATAAGTTGCTCATCTAGTGCCATTAGCTCCCATGAAAAAGAATGTAACTTGACAATGCCATATAAGCCACGGCTCTCAAGTATGGAGTCATAAGAACAAATAAATTTTGGTACAATTATTATGTGGAAACATCCCAAATCTGCTAACGAGGCATTCTGACTTATTAGCGATGAGATATGGTCTAAAACACATTTGTATTTCTGGACGCTGGCTGGTATGAAATAGACTTTGTTTATGTTAGCCGTTGGCCCCAACTGAGGGTCCATTTTGTAAATCTTGTCAATTCCATGTTGCCTGCAATGAAACAAAGAGCAAAACAATAATTACAATTGTATAAACATTATTAAAGTCTACTTTAATGAATATTCTTAGCAGCTATAAGACAAAAATAATATAATTGATTAAATAAAAAATGTATATATTGTTGATTACTAGCTACTCGCCCCGGCTTTGCCCGGGTGTAAATATATTGTACATATAAACTTTCCTCTTGAATCACACTATCTATTAAAAGAAACTGCTTCATAATCATTTCCGTAATTTTAAACATTTAAGGACATACATAAGGACGGACAGACAGTCACAGCGACTTTGTTTTATACTATGTAATGATGATTTAATAAGCACTATCGAATGATCATTAAATCCTAATCTTAATAACACTCTTATTACACATGCAAAAGTTTGTAAGTTAGGGTGACACCATGGGCACAGCTAGTACCTAATATATATAGAAGCCTACTACTATTTCTCATATTAAATTTGATTTACTATAACTACTTTTATCATATGAGAGTGTCAGAAATACAAACTAACAAAATTTTTTTATGGAGCCAAATTTAAACATGCATTCACCTAATTTCGAATAATAAACCACTAGACCAATACACCCTCATTCTTTTAATGAGTTTTTCTTGTATGGATGATGGCGCACCAGGGCACCAATGAAGGATCACGAAATCAGATCAGTTAGCTCAATAAGAGTATTTAATTAGGAATTAAATTGATTACTTGTACCTAGGTCATCCTGAGGAATTTATCAGTATTTAAACGTGATGGTTTCCAGATCCCCTGGAAGTTAACCTAAGGTGGAATATGCGATAGATCACTAATCCCTGTTATATTTAAAAATCTCCTCCCCATTAATGTGTTAAAATTTACCTTAGCCAACCAACGCCACATATCCTCTCCAATGGTTTAATGAGAATGGGATCTATTATGAGATCCTTCTTGTCACCGCACAAAGCCAGGATACTCTCTAATTTACGTTGTGATATAAGGCTCATAGAAGCTAACTTCAATGAAAGTGGTTGATCCATGGTACAAGATATCGATATTGAGACAAAACACTAAATTTTGAACAGATACAACATAATGACAAACATTAGTTCATTCTTTTAGGATACTATTTTCATGTCTTTTTTTGTTTGATTTAAAGAAATATTGGGCTTTTATTTATTATAATATAATTAATTTGTTTTATTTATGATGATAAATTTTAGTAGGTATTCTTATGAAATGTCCAATTTAGCCGTCAATGTCATTTATTATCAAGTTGACAACTGCAAGTTTATTAAAACGAAAGTACGAAAAACATATGGATAAAGTAATGCGAATGCTAATATGACTACAAATTATTGCATGATTTTAAGTTTATTGATTTATTCTGAAAACTTGTATTGGAAAATTTTTCATGAATTTACAATATTATTAGCAATGGCAAGCTAAACTTACTAAAAAATAAAAGCGCAAAATTGTAAACCAATAAGAAGTTCTGTCAATTAATACAGCCAATAAAAATCTTTTCTTTATGACATTAAGACATATTATTGCCAAGTAGAAAAAAATATATTTTATAATGTTCTCTTTTATATTTTTCAAAAACAATTATAAAATGAAAATATTGCTACGAAACACAAATAATATATAAATAATATAATCAGTACTTATTAATTTCTTGCAATTCTGTTAATGGACTATTTACATAAAATTTTAAATGTCCTTGATGACTATATCCGGTCATGCGTGGTTGTGGCGCCAGTAGCTTCCTCCCCCTCCGCTGTTCACCGCCCGCGGAGATAGATAATCGGTCGTTCATCTTATTACAAAAATTAAAAGAATGGCTTCAAGAATAATCAGAAAAATTGTAAGTTCGTGATCTAGTGTTATGTATTAACTAGATTTTGCCCTTGTTGCATGTGATTTACATTATTGTAGTGTTAAAAGTACTCACTTCATTATTCCTGCCATCCAAAAATAGACTTACTATAGTTATGTCGAAGAATTACATAAAAGAGCTTTTGAAGCCTTTTCGTGAGAGTAAACTGTTTGAAGGACTGTCGAGGTGGCTAGCGCCGTCATCAGGGGTTGGCGCTGAAGTAGTTAGGGGCGGGAAAAATGAGGTTAGGAAACATTTTTTGTAAGTTCTTCGTCCACATCATCTTGGAGAAGATTGAGTTTTTTGGTGTTTCGGGCAGGTTCCGGCCGGTCGGGCGGGCTCCGCGGCCTACAGCACAGGTGTACGGAGGGTGACGTTGATCCCTGGTCACGGTATTGGACCAGAGATCACGGTGGCCGTGCAAAAAATATTTGAAGCAGCCAAAGTGCCTATTGAATGGGATGAGGTGGACGTCACAGCTGTTAGAGTGAGTAGCCTAGTTTTATGTTAATTTCATGATATACTCTATATTTTTTTATTCCACTTTTCCATGATCATGAAAGTAAATTACAAATAATTTACATAATATATGTAAATTATGAATTCATTAAAAAAAAAGGAAAATCATCAATTTATTATAACCCCATGTTTTTTAAACATTTAACATCTAGACTAGACTTTTAGCCAGCATTTTGCTGGCACTTAAAGTACTTAAAGACTTTCTGCAATAAAATCTTCATTTATAAATTTTAATTTTATTGTCCAATAATTTATCTAATTAAATATTGCAACAATAAACTACTCTGGATAACTCACACAGCACTTTTTTTTATGTTATTAGAATGACAAACAAACAAACAGCCCATCTGAACTGCCATTATATGAACAGCACTTATATATATGAACTTCACACTATCTCATAATGCCCATGAGAACACTCATTCTCTTCAGACAGGAGTAGGCCTTCAACCATTTCATCGGTCACTCCATTAAGTCAGCCGAGCACCTAACATATCAATTCTGTCTAATGATATCCTCTGAACCACTCGAAACAGACTTGCATGTCTAGTGTGCGCCATAATGTGTATTAAATGTAAAAGTTTTGTATTGGCCAATAAAGTTAAGTTATTATTATTATGAGTTTGGGGTGCCATCTGCACTCGTCTTCTATCATTAGGTAAAGCTGTAAAGGCCAGATTCAGAGAAGTCATTTGTAAAGTTACAATGATTATTTAAAAGAGCAACATGCAAATTACTTGCTCCTTACTCTTGTGATGGAACAGCTTTCAGAATGAGTGGTAGATTATACTTAATTTAAGGTTTAAGTTTCTTGCTTATTCTTCTTGTGATGAATCTACATTCCGAATAAGTGGTAGAATAAAAAAACTTGACTATTCAAAAGTGTTTATATTAAGTTTATTTGAATAAAGATTATTTCTATTTGAATAAATTATGTTCTGTTCTGTTTTATTTTATTGTATTTACTTTAAATGAAATTGTCATTTTAGGGACCAGATGGCAAATTCGGTATACCGCAGAAGGCTATAGACTCAGTGAACACTAACAAGATTGGACTTAAGGGTCCATTAATGACACCAGTTGGCAAAGGGTACAGGTCATTAAACTTGGCACTTAGGAAAGAATTTGACCTATACGCTAATGTGAGGCCCTGCAAGAGTTTAGATGGGTAAGTTTTTTTATCTATCTGTTATGTAATGTTGTAACTGTTACTTTATTTTTATTATTATTATAGCTTTATTCCACATAACAATTTTTGCAGCCAAATACAAAAATATATATAATTCTTTATTGGACTTTTAAACAGAGTAGACAACTTAATTATATATGATGTGGGCACAGGTGGACTAATATCATCAGCCCATCTTTTTTCTGTCATACTACATGTCTTTTGTGTGTCATTTTGTTGTTAGAATAGTAATTGTTGCTATATATATATATGTATTTAAATTACTTTAGAAATATTTTATACTGTTTGTTACCCATGACTTTGTTTGTACTAACATTTACAACCTGTTTCACCCCAATAAGAATGCGGCCCAAATAAGAGCCAGAATGTGGAAAAAGGAGCTCAAAATAAAATACAATTCAGATGAATTGTACATGAAGATATCTTGATTCTTTTTTTTGTGTTAACGGATAGACTTTTGTTTCTCCACATAATACTATTTACTTTCATATCATATTTTATTAATATCACTAGAGCCCTTTATTTATGAAAAGGTAACAAACAGATGGATAGACAGACACTATTTTAATTTATAATATTAGAATGAATTGTACTAAGAGAAGCTCATTATGACAGCCAAAGTAAGTTACATAATAAAAACTAAACTAGGCTGTACAGTCTAAGGATCTTTGCCTGTTTCATTATTTAAAAAAGATAGATACATAGAATAAAGATTTATTTGCATTATACAGAAAAGAGAAAAGTTAAAAATAAATGAAAGAACCCTAACTGATATAATTGTGGATGAATGAGGAAAAAAAGTAAGTTACATAATTAGTTTAACGCTATCTTATTACACAAGTATATATGTGTCATATTATGTATACTGAGCAAGACTATAAGAGTATTAATTAGCAATGATAGGGTTGCCACTCTATAGCTATTGTTTTAATTTTTTTTTTAATGTGACTAAAAGTACTTGGTTTGTATTATTTATAGATTAACACCATTTCTTGCGACTTCGTCTGCTTTTTTGTATTGGAATAGAAATCTTTAGTAAATTTCAGTTTAATAACTTGATTCAGTTCAACGTACAGTTCGTTAAATAACCAATAAGTTTGTGTTCGATTCTGCTACTGAAAGATATATATATGTATACTAGCTGTCCCGGCAAACGTTGTTTTGCCTTAAAATAAAAAAAATTAGGGGACGACTACCCCTAACATTTAGGGGGATGAAAAATAGATGTTGGCCCATTCTCAGACCTACTCAATACGCTCACAAAATTTCATGAGAATCGGTCAAGCCGTTTCGGAGGAGTATGGGAACGAAAACTATGACACGAGAATTTTATATATAAGATATACACCGTGGGACTAGATGGCGCTGTGTTAATTATCCAGGATTATTTATTTATACAGATATATGTGTACTATAGGATAATAATAATTTTATTATTTTTATCATCTTATTTAATATTATAAACGCGAAAGTTTAGTGTACGGATGGATATTTGTTACTCTTTCACGCAAAAACTATTAAACTGATTTTGATGAAACTTTACTGTAATATCACTTATACATCAGGATAACATAGGCTATAAATTTCACGCGGGTAAAACCACGAGCACAGCTAGTATATTATAAAAATACAAATGATATTCGTAGCGGTTTCAACCCTAACTATTATGCATAATGCCATCGTCCTTGCACAATAATGCAGTCTGGTACATAAGGCCATAGGCCAGTAGAGTACATTATGTTAGTGCATATTACTTTACCTGTTACCTATTTACTACGATTACTTTCGAAATACGCATTGCGAATTTATTTCGCTTGTATTCAATTCAAAATATCTTTATTCATGTAGGTATATTACATACTCTTATGATATGTCAAATCTACCGTCAATTAGGAATGATTTCGAGATGAGAAGAACTCTTTAGTCTGAGGGCAAGTCTCGGCTCAGGCCGTCGTAATTTCGATCTCCGTTTGAATTGGACTGGGGAACGATTGCAGCAGTTGTTCCTGAGGTTAGCGCGTTGAAACAAACAAACTCTAGCTCTCTCTCTAACTAAACTCTCTTGTCGGTTAAATAGAAAAATGGCAGTATTCAAAATGTAAATTTTTTTACAAGACAAGCAATTAAAGTTTTTTTTAAATTTATTTAAATTATTTTTACCTTTAAAGTATTAAATTTACACAGAAGTATTATATAACATTTTAAAAGTATTTAAATAATGATTAAGATGGCTTGACTTCTATAATATAAGGCAATTCTAATTTTGAAGAAAATCATTTTTCTATTTAATCGTCGAGCTGTGTAATATTAGTATAGATATATTAATAAGTGGGTTTGTCTGTATGTGTTATCTCTCTACACTTCACGTCAGTTTCCTTACGACTTTATCAGGTAGATAGTAAATCTGCGTCATACAATACAACGAATATAAGCCGAGTGATGGATTCGATACTGTATACCTATTTATAGATAGCAAACGTATACATGATTGTACAGACGGATCGCCGGATACAAATATGTCCCTGACCTTATAGTACAATGAACTATATGTTAAAAATAAATAACTGAACAATTAATACAGCGCCATCTAGTTCCACGGTAAACAGAGCTTGTATTGTGGGTACTACTAGACAACTGATATAAATGCTTAGTTATATATTTTTTATAAATACATACGTAATATAATATAAATACCCAGACTTAAACTGACAAATGTTTGTACCGTGCGAGGAATAGAACTCGCGACCATTGGAAGATAATCGGTCCTATATCGCTAGACCTCCGAAGCCTACATAATATGCTTCTACTACTGTTAGATAGAGCAAGAATTTGATTTATTACTAGCTGTTACCCGTTCGTTTGAAATTTAACTATTTTCTATTTAAAATCAATAAAATTTCTAAAATAGTAGCCCAAGTTACTCCTTATAACATTGGCTATCAGCGAGTGAAAGTTCCATCGAAATCGGTCCAGCCGCCTCAGAGATTAGCATGAATAGACAGACGGAGATCAATTTTTAAATTATTAATTTGATGTAAGTACAGTATATACTTTCATATAAATTTAGTGAATAACTGTTAATCTGAAAATACAAACGGACACCTCAATTTTATTTTATTTATTACAAGCAACGTAATAAAACCAAAAACAATTATTTTTAGGATATTTTACTGTTTGTTTGTCCGTTTGTGCTTGCTAATCTCATAAACGGCGTAGCTGATTTGGGTGCAGTTTTCCTTATATAAAATACTAGCTATTCGCCCTGGCTTCGCACGGGTGTACATGTATTATGTATATATGTATATAAACCTTCGTCTTGAATCATTGTATCTATTAAAAAAACCGTTTCAAAATCCGTTGCGTAGTTTTAAAGATTTAAGCATACATAGGGACGGACAGACAGCGACAGCGACTGTCTACTATACTGTCTGTTATACTATGTAATGTTAATAATAAAAAGGAGGATAATGTTGTAAAATATTTGCTCTGTTCGGATTACGAACACTGATTATACTATGTATTTGCTTTTGACAAAATTGCAATAGCATAGGCCGGTGGTCACTGTATTCTCATAAATTTGAATTTAATAATGAATCTGTATTATTGTAAACATGTACAACTATATTTGAGAAAAATACGAGCCGAGTTTCTTGTTAGTTCTCATCTCGAAAGCATTCCGAACTGACGGTACATTTTACACGTCATAAATCTGTAATAGACGTTCAAGAATAAAGATATTTTAGTTCAATTTGACTGATTTATTAAAATACTAGCTGTTCCCGCAAGTTCGTCCGCGTGGAATTTAACTTTATTTTCTACTGCCAAAAAAAGTCCCGTCAAAATCGGTCCAGCCATTTCAGAGATTAGCTGGAACAAACAGACCGACAGACGGACAAAAATTGCAAAAATGTTATTTTCGTGTATGTTTATTTATATTCATATGCATGTAGTAAAAAACGGTTATTTCAATATTACAAACAGACACTCCAATTTTATTTATATGTATAGATTTTACAACGTTATTCTCCTTTCTTTGACAGTCGGTTAAAATATAACAATTTCAATGTATTTACACAATTTATATTATTATAATAAATTAGCGACGTATCACTAACTTCTAAAGTACTTAATTATATAACTGTTACACGTACCATTGTAGGCATTTTGTCTAAGAATCGAGTAAACACTTATTACATTTGTGTAAATATAATATAACCCCGTTCTCAACGGAAGTACGGAGTATTTTAATCAGTCAAATTGAACTAAAATATCTTTATTCATGAACGTCTATTACAGATGTATGACGTGTAAAATGTACCGTCAGTTCGGAATGCTTTCGAGATGAGAAGAACAAACAAGAAACTCGGCTCGTATTCTTCTCAAATATAGTTGTACATGTTTACAATAATATAGATTCATTTTTACAATAATATAGATCAAATTTATGAGCATACAGTGACCACCGGCCTATGCTATTGCAATTTTGTCAAAAGCAAATAGTATAATCAGTGTTCGTAATCCGAACAGAAAAAATATTTTACAACATTATCCTCCTTTTTAATATTATCAGTACATAGTATAAAACACAGTCGCTGTCTGTCCGTCCCTTTGTATGCTTAAATCTTTAAAACTACGCAATGGATTTTGAAACGATTTTTTAATAGATAGAGTGATTCAAGACGAAGGTTTATGTACCTAATACATGTACACTCGTGCGAAGCTAGTGCGAATATGTACCTACGTGAAGGCCTCGCTGGTGATGGTCTCCATATTTTATTTTTTATTTGGGAGTTTGGGCTATTTGTTATGGATGATAATGAAATGTGCACCCTCTTGTGCTAACGGTTAACGCTGGCGGGGCACCAGTGGAGGATGATAAGGTGAGCATGACGTCAGGTCAGTTAGCCCATCGTGACAAATTCACCAAGAATTTATCACGATGGTTTCCAGGGGGAACCGCGTGGAGGTCAACCTGCCAT